GCCACACACTTAACTTTAGTATTAGTAAGGCTAGCGAAACAGTTTAATTTGTCCAATATATGTTTGATGAAAGAGTCATTATTGCCCGTTAGTATGATGTCGTCAACATAGATTAGAATATAGACGGTGTATTTATCTTTCTTGTATATATATATATATATATATATATCTATATATCTATTTCTTTGTAAGAACAAATCTCTGATGTGATTTTTTATGTGTTAAAACTTATTTTATACTCCTTTTACTTCATATCATACTAACAAAAAAAATTTTAGACAATCAATTTTTTTTACTTCATACTCATCTAAATAAAGGCGGTTCGTAAAACACGGGTGTTTACACTCCTCTTTCCTGTTCCTGATTCTATTTAAGAATACCTTAGTTTTGATTTCGTTTTGGGCCTTCCCCATACACAACAAGGAGCTGACTCAATTATGGTGGTGGTAGACCACATTTCATCTATTGTAAAAAAAAAAAAAAAAACATGTGATGATGTTAATATTACCTAACTCTTCTTCAAGAAAATTATTAGTTTACATAGCCTGCCACATTGTCTTACTTTCGATCGTGATGTTATATTCATTATTATTTTTTGCAACAGCTTTGAAAAAGCTTAAACACTGATATCAAGTTAGGCTCAACATACCACCCTCAAATTGACGACCAAACTGAAATTATTAACATAATGTTGGGCAATATGTTGCGTTGTCTAGTTTAACATCATTCGAAACGTTGGGTTGAAGTCCTTAGCCAGGTTGAATTCACTTACAATTCAATGTCAAATCGTTTTGCATGTTCTTATCCTTTTAACATTTTTTTTTTATTAAAATGCCAAATCACTTGGTGGATCTTGTTGTCTTACCTAAATACCATAATACAGCTAATGCCAAAACAATTTCGCAAATTACATAAGTCATACAAGTTGTGCGGGATAATCTTCAGGACTCTAATTCAAAATACAAATAGCAAGCTGATCTTCATAAGCAAGCCAAATGTTTTTAACCCAGTCATGCTACGCATGTGTAAAGAGATAATTCCTTTAGCCACTTAGACTAAACTCAACCATAAAAAAATCGGTCCATTTCCAGTACTCCATCGCATTAACAGCAATGCCTACGCCATTGATCTTTTATCCAGTTGTCACAAATCTTCTATATTTAATGTGCCAAAAGCAAGTTCATGTGAACCGAGAGAGAACTGATGTAGCTAGGCACATCACATCATTCTTTAAGGTTCCGCTACTTTTTTTTCATGATTATTTTCAAAGAATACACTCGCTTTTATGTTTATGTTAGCTTTGATTAGCTATATTGTACTACTAATAGTTGAGGTTATATATATATAATTCAGTAGGAAAATTGCTTTATTGCTACTTTTGTTTGGTTTCTCCACCATTTGTTAGTTTCTCTCTATAAAATTCAGTAGGAAAAGAAGACGATTATGTTTTTTGACGGAAATTGTATAATCATATTGATAATTTAATCGAGTAATTAAAAAAAGTTTAATTCGTAAATGAACAAATAAAAAGAATTATAAATTTTTATTATATAATATTTACATTTGTATAAATAAGAAAAAATGCACTATTTTTTTTATGAGATAAGCTACAGTTTGATGTGGTTGTTATTATTTGAAGTTAAGAAAATGAGTATTTTTATTATTGATGTTCTTATAGCCAGCATTTTAGGGCAACAAAAACACAGGCATAAGTGCATAACTAATCCATTATCGAGCGTCCCATTAGCATCGCCCTCTCTCTTCCCATATCTCCGCCGCCGTCAAGATGGGTAGGGTCATCCGAGCCCAGAGGAAGGGAGCAGGATCAGTTTTCCGATCCCACACCCACCACCGTAAAGGCCCAGCTCGTTTCCGAAGCCTCGACTTTAGCGAGCGCAATGGCTACCTGAAGGGCGTGGTGACCGACATCATCCACGACCCCGGCCGCGGGGCTCCACTTGCGCGCGTAACTTTTCGTCATCCATTCCGTTACAAGCACCAGAAAGAGCTCTTCGTCGCCGCCGAGGGCATGTACACCGGCCAATTCGTGTACTGCGGCCGCAAGGCGTCTCTCATGGTCGGGAATGTTCTTCCTCTCCGATCTATACCCGAGGGCGCCGTTGTATGCAACGTAGAGCACCATGTTGGTGATCGTGGCGTTCTCGCGAGGGCGTCCGGAGATTACGCGATCGTCATCAGCCACAACCCTGATAATGGGACGTCTAGGTCAGATTTGAACTGATGCGGTTGGATCTTGAATTTTTTTGTTCCTTTTTTATGTCAGTTGTTGCCAGGTATTGAGCATGGTTTTAGGTCAATGGAGCTTTTTTGTGCATTTTAAATTTCTTTTATTAATTTGAAAGCAATTGCTGCACTCTCTTAAGTTAATTTGATAATTTTTTTAATTTCTGCTTAAATTTTAAGCTTTCCTGACTGATTTGTTCTGGTCATTTAGACCAATTGTTGATATGCGAAGTATGTCATTTGCTTGATTGTTCTGTTTGTTATTTGTTTTTTAACTTATCTGAATATGATACTCTGTTTTCTTATTTTTATTTTTTCTAGACTGGGAATGCATGATTTTAAGCTTTGGTTTGAATGTTGATTCAATTGTTTGAAGATTGCTGAAACTATGATTGCCGACTCATTAATGTTAACGAGGACTGGTACCTTCTGTTGGCTACTCCTAGTTCAAGTCATCTTGTAACTGCTTGATTTTATTACCTTATTTTCACCTACGAAACAACAATTTATTAAGATACTTTTAGTTTTTAGAAACACTATTCAAAACTGCTTGATTAAAGATAACGGAATGTCTTTTTATAGTTTTGCTGTCATAATGCTATCCCATATGTTTAAGTTGGATTGGTTTGCTTATGGATCCTCATTCTCCCTTCATTCTTTGTGAATGTTGTAGGAGGTGTTAAATCCTTTTTGAACAAATTGTTTCATACAGCTTCCATCTTACCTTAGGTTTATCACTTTCTTTGTGAATTATCCACATTATATTTTCTTGCCTATCTTATTAGGGCATCCTCTATCCCCTGTTATATGCCTAGACCACCTGTGTATTTTTTGCCATTTTATCATCAATAACTGTTTATCTAACCCACGCCGTTTTTATCTAATGTTATCTTTTTCAAATCTATCATTTATGTTTTTACCACATGTCTACTTAATTATCTCTGATGGTGATCAATTTTGCTACACAATTTGGCTATCAATGTCATTTTTGTTGTCAAAGCTCAAAGCCGTGGAAGATAATCATTCTGTTTGATATTTATGAAATCTGACTTTAATTTTTAACAATGTTTTTTTATTGCATATTACTTTTGATGCATTTCTTTGTTCGTTACCTATCTTTCTAAAAAGCACATTGGTAATTTACATCATTATGGTGCTTAATCCCTCTAGAATATGATTAATCCATATATAAAATCTAAATGTGTCAATGATTGATTTTAGTGTGGCTAACTTATTATTATTTTTAAATTTATGTGATCAATAAAGATACAAATGAAATGGTTTGCTTGTGTTGCGATAATATGTGAAATTTGTAAAGGATAATCTCAAGTATTTATGCAAAGTGAGCAAAAGAGAGTACAAAGTGATGAACTTTATCCTAAAAAATTAGCCCAACTTTAATAAAGATTATATTAGATTGCATAGCACATTCAAATCAATATTGTTGGAGAAATGCTGCAAATGCAAATTCTACTATTAGTTACTGTTTTCCTTGACTTTGATAGAAGATGGTTGAAGCTCAACATGCCCAAATTTCTTGAAAGAAAGTTGTTGGCTCTAGGTGTCACGTGCTGGGTTTTAAGATGGGGCACGGAAGATGTATTTCGGTGGCTCAGGATTAGAAGGAGATTGGTAATGTTAGAGGTGTAGTGAATGGATTGTGCAAGTAATATTAAAGGTAGAGGTACAAAGACGGCTTGTGAGCGGTGTAGGGTCATGTGCAAGTGGCATGTGATCGACGATATGGTAGTGTCATTTTTGAGCGGGTGCTTACATGAGCAATTACATAGGGCTTCTTGTGGATGCAAGCTCTAGATAGAGCGTGTTGCTTTAGTGGATGCATAAGTGACTATATTGAAAGTTTAATAGATGGTTGTGAAATTGATTGAACTATTGAATGACACACCAAGAGGAGGGTGAATTGGTATTTTTAATTTTTTTTCCAAAAAAGCTTTTATTTTTGAATTAAACAACAACTAATTTCTGATTTATAAAGAGGAAGTAAATACTAAAACAAATATTAACTTTTATTTTCTGATTTTGTAAAAAAAATTATTTTTTTACAAACAAAGTCTAAACTCAATCAACCACACATTGCAATAATTACTAAACTCAAACCAGATCGTATAAAGTAAATATGTAAGATAGTAAAATGCTTAAAATAAATACAAAAAAGAAAGAAAATGTGAAATAAATTTTTATAGTGGTTCGATCAACTTAACCTATGTCGACTCCCCGACATCCTCTTTGGGTATTGCACTAAACATTTAGTGACTCTTATTTAGATCTCACAGCTAGGCAGAGAGGACCTTACAAAATATCTTCGACCTCTTCGATTTGGCTGAGAACTTGATGCGGACATCGGCACGAAAATCTGGCGCATCTATCACAGGAGGCGTCGTAAATCGACGGCTATGATTAAAGTTGTCATTTATGAATTATTTTCTGCATTTTAGTTTCTATTTTATGTTATTTTCTATTTTACCCCTAGGTTAATTTATTTGAGTGTTGTGGCCCAAGGGGTAATTTTGTAATTTTTTATTTTCTCATGTTGTGGCCTATATATAGGGCATTTAGCTATTGTAATAGGATGATGAATTTGATATGAAAATTTTGTGTTTTTCACATTTGTGTTCTTCTTGAGAGAGGACGAGAGTGAGATTCCTATGGGAAGGAATCGAAGTTGTCACCAGCCGCAGGATGGGTCCGGGCTCGTGAATTGAAGTCCCTTGAAGAAGGGCAACGTGATAGGAAGTGCTTGTATTCACAAGCAATCCTAACCCAAATCAAGTATCAAATAAAGAAAAACTGCTGTCCACAGCAGGAAAACAGCCCCAAACCAGAGAAAATCTGAGAGAAAACGTGGGAGAAACGTAGGAAAAATAATTGCAAACACTTTTATTTCAATAGAGGATTAAAAGCACTTGCAAGATACAACTTTCCTTCAATTCGAGAGGAAGGAAGAACTCTCCAACGATCTCCGGCAAAGCCAATTTAAGAATTAATACACTTAAGTAATTGGGGCCCACTTATTTGAAATCAAACCCCTCTCCCCTCCCCATTATTCTTTGCCATTAATGACTCCTTAATCACTCCCTGAATTTTAGTTAATTCGAATTCAAATTGAGAGTGATTTAATCCAATCAATCCTAATTGAGAGCTATTAATTGAAACAATCTCAATCCCATCTAATTTCAGCCCAGCCTAAAATCTGTCCAGATTTCACTGTTTCTCCTTAGGAAGTTTTGGGGATTTGAATATACTGCTGGCTGAAATTCTTCAAAGACTTCACCTTGGGTTTCCAGCAATCTGAAGCTTCCTAGTTGCTGTTTTAGCCACAGCAAATTGCTGTCCAGCAATTCCTGCTGTATCCTGTGAGCTGTCCAAGGATTTCACAGCTTTACAAGCTGCTATACATGTCGTTACAACTGTTGTCCAGCATTCCAGGACTGGATAGTTTGCTGTCCAGAATTTTCTGGACATAGAAGTGTGCTGTCCATAGTTTCCTGCAGCCACCAACTGCTGTCCTGCACCCCGGGAGGTCTGAAATTGCTGTTCAAAAGCCTCCAGCAGCCTTATAATAGCTGCCCAAGGTTTATTCAAGCGTGGGAGATTGCTGTACAGAATTTTCTAAGAGTCAAAAGTTGCTGTTTAGACCCCTTGATTTGCTCTTCAAGATCAATCTCCTACCCCGTTCTACATCAGAACTAGAATCATTTTCACACTTTTGGTGAAGCGGAGTAGCTCAAATCACTTTCTCCCTTCTACCTTCTAGTGAGGCGGAGTAGCCTAAATCACTTTCACCCTCATGGTGAGGTGTAGTAGCTCAAATGACTTTCATCATCCTGGTGAGGCGGAGTAGCCCAAATCACTTTTACCTTTCCCGATGCAGTGGAGTAGTCGGCGACCCTTTGACAACAAATGTGTCTTCTTCCTAAAGCTTCCCTTAAAACAAACTTTGACACATGCAGGAACACAGGTGCAAGTTGGTCGGAGCAACCATGTGAAATTCTCTCTCACACTCCCTTGAACCCACAAAAATCTTCTCTCTCTCATAACTTCACCCTTCTCCCTTGCTCAAAGGCCTCTCTTCAATGCTTTCTCACAGAAAACTCAACCCAATTACTATCAAAGTCTTGTACAAAGTCTATTAAGAGAGTTTATATAATGGGATGCCAATATTCTAATTATTCAATTTTGTCGTCTCTTTTAGTACAATATGATTCATGAGTCATACACTATGATTAGTTCAGTTCTGCCCCGTTAGTACTGTATGATGAATAGTAGACCAGTACAATCAGTTCAAATCCTTCTTTGATTGTATGGTACAAATTTATGGTCGTATAGTACGATTATTAGTTCAATCGAATCGTTGTTTATTCAGGACAAACCCTGGTATGTTAAAAAATTGCCTCTGTCGATCATCCAGTATGATCAACTTTGTATAGTACAATGGTAAAACTTAATCAAGCCATATTCAATTGATTAATCACAGGAATTTAATTAGGCAAGGTTTTAAAATATTGTACTATACGAATAGAACAAATTTTTAAATTTTGAAATATTCCCTAATTTTAATTGGCAATGAGATTCCTGAATACAACTGATCATTATGTACGATTTGATTCATATAATGCGATTAGTTCATTTTAATTTCAAATTTTTATTTTACTTAATTAAATATTTTAATAAATTTTTGATTGTACAGATCTTACAGTACAATGTAAATCATCTAGTATGATCTTCAAAAAAATTAAAACATTTAATTTCACTCCCTATGTATGTGCATGGTTGTTAAACTAACATACATATTTTTACATACATGGACTGAAAAAGAAAAATTACACTCTTCAGTACATAGTTTAACTCACACACTTACAAAGCATAGTCTTGAGACTGAATTTTTAGTCTTTCTTCGTTTATGTTGTTACCTAAAAGGTTAGTTGTGCACAAAACAAATAACAAAAATAATATATAGGACTAAGTAGATCATCCAATATTTTTCGTAATCATCAAAATACAAGGTCGGGCTCTCGGATTGCAACAATCTTTCCTTTGTTTTTGATGACAAATACTGCTGGTTAGAATTGCAAGTTAATTTCAATTTGTCTCGCTTCACCGCTACTTCTAGCCACCATCATCATCACACCTAATCAGGGTCTAGGAAGGAATCTTGCTCTCTTGCTAGCCATTGGGATGCTAAAGACAGGGAATGAGGTTCCTTTTAACGTTGCTAGCTGTTGGAGCCGGCTTGACTTAATTTCATATGGTTCCTTTTAATTAAATGATAAATTAAGATTGCCCATCCTAGAATAATTTATAATAGTTATTTCTCCTATAATGTTCCTTCTTTCCTCATAAGAATTGTTTGGTAGGGAAGCGAAGCCTGTCTGTTGTCTGTCAGGTTTTCTAGCCATTCCGAACTTGTGGTTGTGAGAGCTCAGCGAGATTTGTGTTTAAGTGTTCTTCACATCTACCACTTTTTTGAGGAGATGTAAACAGGCAAAAGCTAGAAGGATAATTTTACTTGCATTTAATTATTGATAACAAAAAAGGACCTACGAAAAGCTCTTTAAAAATATAGTTTTGTTACTCGTTTTGTCACAGAGCTTGATTAAACACCTGAGATACTTTAGGGGACCTAACTCTAAACCTGTTTAATGCTTGAGAAGCCTAGTTCTAATTTACTCCATTACCTATTTATTATCATTATTTATCCTAGCTTTCGAACATTCAATAGTAATAACCGATTTTTGTGAGCTAGCAAGCATAGGACATTAGGACCCTTCATGAAGCTGCCTTTCTCACTTCAGACTGCAATGTTCCTCTACATAATTAGTTTTTTCTGGTAACAAACCTATTCATGTATTGATATGTTCTGCACAAATAGTGCTATAATTTTATACCTGGTATACTGGAAAAAGAAGTTAAATTACTTCCATTTGTCTTTATTCTTCAGGAAACTATGCTCCTTTTGCGAGTTTAAATTCCCTTTAGTTTGTTTTTATTAATAGAGCAATAGCGTTTGTTGTTTTATTTTTAGAACCATACTCGCATTTTATTTTGAAAGGTTCATATGATTGTCTACTTGTTAATCTCATGTGAATATGCTGGTTCTGATTCCTCTTTCTGTGGTTTTGAAATCTATAAACTCCATTGATTTATTAACCAAACTGACTTCAGCTCAGCAAATTATCCCCAGAATTAAGCTCCCTTCCGGTGCTAAGAAGATTGTTCCAAGTGGATGTCGAGCCATGATCGGCCAGGTTGCAGGCGGCGGTAGGACTGAGAAGCCTCTTCTTAAAGCCGGCAATGCCTACCATAAGTATCGGGTGAAGCGGAACTGCTGGCCAAAGGTCCGAGGTGTTGCTATGAACCCTGTGGAGCATCCTCATGGTGGAGGAAACCATCAGCATATCGGCCATGCCTCAACTGTTAGGCGTGATGCTCCTCCTGGGCAGAAGGTTGGTCTCATTGCTGCCAGGAGAACTGGTCGTCTCAGGGGCCAAGCTGCTGCTACTGCTGCCAAGGCAGAAAAGGGTTCTTAAAAGGTCAAGTTTTTAGCTTGCGCTTTTCCTCATCCATACTATTTTGGACTTGTTCTGTTCAATTATTTAAGAATATACAGTTTTTTTAGCTTTTTTTTGTTGGAAATTTAGCAGGTCTCGATATGGCTTTATGTTGGATGAACATGTTTGTTATATATTTCATCGTTTTAAGGAATAATTTGCATGCAACAAAGTGTTATTGCAGCAATGGTATATTTGTCCTTGGAAATATGGTTGATGAACTGCATGCGTGGTTAGCTGTGTATTAGGAGTCTCAATAACATGTTGAATGCTTGAAGCCAAGTCAGAAAAATGTTCTTAAATTTCTGCCAACACTGTTCTGTAGCTCGCCTAGAGGGTAACTATTTTGCATTCAGACTGAAATTTTTGAACCTGTTAAGATAATTAGGTGTGTTGGATTTGTTTCATGGCTCCCCTCTTTATAGATTCAAGTCATGTTTCATGCTACAGTAAAAGCTACATTTAAACTATTCATGCAGAAGAAGATGTGTAATATGTCTTGACTTGAAAATACTTTAAATTTGTAGCCAAAAATACATATGACGAGAGCTATCATTATTCACTACCTAAATTCATCTGCTGGATGGATGAAGTCGCCGCTCTCATTGGGGGAAATTGATAATTATATGATGGGATCGAATATGCCCATCACAGAGGATCAAGGTTGAATGATCGTGTGGTGGGGTAGAAATATGCCCAATAAAGAGGATCGAAGCTGGATGGTTGTATGATGGGGTCGAAATATGCCCATCATAGAGAATTCGAGGTTGAATGATCATATGATGTGGTAAAAATATGACTATCACAAAGGATCGAGGTTGAATGATCATATGATAGGGTCGAAATATGCTCATCATAGGGTGAGATAAGGCCATGCATGGAGTTAGAGTAGGGTTATAAGAGAGTTGAAATTAACCCGATAAGCAAATAAGTAAATCTGACTTTCACAATCTAGCTCATTTATTTTGAAAGTTGGAGATCAACTCAACTCTTTTATAACCCTACTTATTGAACCTGATTAATTAATTAAAGTCGAGCTCATTTTTATGAGTTTCGAACTAGTTCACAATCTAGCTCATTTATTTTGAAAGCCACATGATTTTGACTCGAGTAGTTCTATAGTAAAAGAAATAAAAAAAAAAAGTGAAATTATAGGTGAATTAGTAAAGAAATTATAGCTATAAGTAAGATGTAAATTTTAAATATGTTTAAGAATTTTGTATTTTAGCTTTTAAATTTTAATATATTTTATATTAATAATATTTTCTAAATTCGCTAGCACAAAGTTTGGCTCAAGATTTACTTATTTGCCTATCGAGTTTAACCAATGAGCTATTTAGTAAGCCGGACCTATACTAAATTAAAACTCATCTTGACTTAGTTACACGCATAGTCTATAAAATTTCATTCAATGTTATTATTGCCTCTCTATTTAACAGCCAACATTGGATCTAATTAAAATATTTAATAGATTAAATTAGAAATAATAGACAGCTTAGGAATAAAAGTCTAAAACTACTCTCTAATAATCTTAGAAAAAAATAAGATAAGGTCAAAATGCTACCTCAACAATTTTGGCATCAAATTAGTTATTTTTTTTTTAAATTAGCATTGTCTTTTAATAAAATAATATAAATGAATTTGTAGTAATTGCTTGTAGCTTAAAAAATATGAGGATAAATGAGCTGAGTATGAGTGAGTTGATTATCTATTTATTTTTGGCTAATTTGAAATTTGGGGTGTTTATATTCTGCTTTTGTTTGAAATTATTTATGAGCAAGTGTTCGACTCATTAGAATTTATCAAATATGAGTCAATTTCGAACAAATAAAAATAAATAAATAATAAGCCGAGTCATTATATAGAACTATTAAAGTATTAATAAATACAAAAAATAAAATAAATTTAATAATATTTGTATATTTATTTTAAGCAAATAACGAGCTAAATATGATAGATCTAAAGTCTATTCATGTTCAAATTCTTTAAAAATCAAGCTCAAAACATATTTTTGTAGACATGGGCTTCTTCTTAATGATCTAAACATGAGCTACTCATGACTAATGCATTTTGATATATCATCAAAAAATTATCTTGATTGGGCATGAATCTCGATGCAAAATCAAGTTGGAAGCTTCAAAAACTAAATCTGGGATCATCTGAACTCCGATTTCAGTAAACTTATAGTCAAATTGAGCGTATCAGAAATACGAACCCAACAACAACAAATTCAACTCAATCTGAGCCCAAATAAGTTTGAATCAAATACTTGAAGCTATGTTGGAAGGTTTAAACCACAATTTGGATTACCAAACGATTTTCAAACATGATATGCTTATAGTTGAATCGAGCGGCTCGATGAGACGGATCCAACCAACCTAAGATTGCCGAATTCCAATATCGCTAAGACCTTCAAATGTCCGACAAACGGTCCACGATCAAGGGATTCAATATTGGTCGTCCATCCAACCCACACCACCTTTGCCCTTGATCCTCCTCCTATTTACGGGTCATGTCATCCTCAAAAAAATTATAAATAGACATAATTTCTCTTGATAGGGGACCCAAGCAAGAAGAAGAAGAGAATCAGGAGAAGAGAAGAGAAGAAGGGAAGGAGGAAAGATATTCCCCATCGACCACCGTCGGAGTTTTGCCTAGCGTTCAAGTGACGCCAGAATTCTGCCTGAATTCCAAGTGACGCCAGAATTCTGTCTGACTTCCAAGTGATGCCGGAATTATGTCTGACTTTCAAGTGACGCTAGAGTTCCGCCTGACTTTCCAGTGACGTCGAAATTCTGCCCAACTTTCAAGGGACACTGGAGTTCTGCCTGACTTTCTAATGACATCGGAACTATGCCCATTCTCTAAGTAATGTCAGAATTCTATCTAATCTACAAGTGACTTTGAATTTAGCTCGAATACACAACTTGTTAGTAAATGGATATCAATCCGGATGTGAATCATTATAATATGATCGTCCCAAATTTTAAAGACGAGTCAGCCTCTTGTATCTCAAGCAAATACTAGTGGAATTCTTTTAGCTTGACGTGATACCGTGTTTTTTTTTTTTTTTTGACATCGCTCCCTATTTATATATTAATTTAGTCCTAAATTAAGTATTTTTTATTATATTAAAAATGTATGTTTTCTACTATTTTATTTTTAAATATAAAAACATAAACATCATGTTGAAGATAGAGATTAAAAAAATTATATTAGAAGTTTATTTTAAACTAGAGATTTGTTGTTATTTTAGAAATGATAATTTAATAATATTTGTATAAATAAAAGTTTTTATTTCTCCATAAGTAGGGATGCAAACGACCGACCCGAGCCGAGTATGTGAGTGTTCATTTAATATCAGGTTGTTCAAGTTTAGTTCATATTTATTCGAGCTTTATTGTTTGTGTTCATGTTTGATTCATTTAAATTAATGGTGTTCATGTTCAGTTCATGTTCGTTCGTTTTGTGTTTATCGAGCTTTAAACAAACAAATATGAACGAGATATAAACGAGCTTTACTTTTAGATGTTCATTAACTTAACAAGCGAGCTTTATCGAGCTTCCTAACAAACAATTACATCGAGCATGTTCGTGAACATATTTAACAATTTTTTTTAACTATCAAACAAACTCATTCATTAACATATCTATGAACAAATACTTTTATAATAAAAATAATTATCTATGTAACAAAGACAATGATTTATAAGCAAATCCTATATTCACAGAATTTTCCTAACAACAATATTAATAAAATGCAATGATTTATAAAAAAATAGTCATATAAAGCTATAATTACTTACACATCAAGTTATTTTTGTCGAGCTTATTCACGAGTTCAAAATCGAACACGAATAGAGCTTTTATCGAGCTTGTTCACGGACTTCAAATGATGTTGTTTGCGAACATAAAGTCATAAATGAGCCGAACACATTAGTGTTCAAGTTTGCTTATTTAAGAATCGAGTATTTAAAATATTGTTCAAGTTTGTTTGTTTAGTTAATTAAACGACCACAAACGAACTTTAATCGAACGAACAACCTAAACCCTAATAGCTCGTCGAACATTTGGTTCACTTGCAGCCTATCCATAAGGAGAAGATCTTTATAATTTTCTCTCTAAATTATAACGGAAAAAAATTTTCTTTGGTATATATATATATATATATATTTCAAATTTTCTGAGATCATGATATCAAATATCAATTTTTTTTTCCCACCCAAAACCTTACACTTCCGCAATGCGCCGCTCCCAGCTCGCCGTCCGAGTATTAAAGTTGTCATGTCGCCCATTAGGTTCCCCAAAGCATCACGCTCACTCGAATCGAAATCAGCGAGAAGGGCACAAGGAAAGCCATACCCCCTAAAATCAGCAAAGCCCTCCGGTCTGTTCTTTTTATGCACTTGATCTAGGGCAACAATCAGCGGCTCCAGTTCCATTTCATTCCCGCCGATCATTCTTCGACATGTCGCCGTCCGGGGCTGTGGAGAAGCATGAGGAGGGCGATGAGGCAGCCCTCGCTGGCGGTGAGCTGCTTTACTGTGGCAGCACGATCTGGGAGACCATGGGAAGGAAGACGGTGGCGACCGAAAGAAACCTTGTGTCGCCGACAAGACTTCGTAACCTTGTTGGGGTGGATATTCGCTTTGTCGCTTCCGGTTGCGGTGAGCCCCCATTTCCCTTCGTAACCTTTTTTGAAGCACGCTTATTGTAGCTCGGGCGTCAATGTGTTTTTTACCTATCTATAAATGACCATATTTGACCTTGATTGATATTTTTTGTCTCGAGCTTTGTTGTAGAATGAGGATTGTAATATGGCGGAAAGCAATGCCATGTATGGTTTGAATGCCTTTTGTAAAGTTTTTCCTCTGGGAAGTGTGATTTTTAACTTCATTTCGTAATTAATTATTTGTAATGTGGAAGGAAGATGTCGCAAGGAAAGCAGCAAATGCATTTAAGCGGTTGATGATAGATGTCTGTTCCACTTATCATCTTATAACGTCTGTCAAACATGATGTAATGTCATGTGGCGGTTTGGTATAAAATCCATCTCTTCGGTGTCCTACGTTTTTCAGTTGTGTTGACAGGTTGCAGAATAGCGCTTCAATCTCTTGCCCTGTTTCTTTGTGTAATTCATTCTTATTTATTTTCATTTTTAACAATCTTTTGTTAGGACCATTCCAGAGGTTCTGTAACTGTATTATTGTTACCTGTTGTATAGTTGATTTTTTGCTGTGTTATTATCATTTTTCATGTCCGTTGCTTTCTTCTTATTGTGTATTGAGTTACAGTTCTAATTTAATTAGTTTGTATCCCATTTCATTGTTTTCTGATTCTTTATTTTTAAATCAATAGCTTATATCATGTTATTGCAGCTTCCTGTCACTGTGTTGCTTTGGATGTTGGAGGCCGCTGCTATACTTGGGGACGCAATGAGGTATATTGATAGCTACTTACCAAGTCTTACTCATTGAAGTGCTTATACATGATAATCTTGTAGAAAAGTCAACTAGGGCATGGTGATACCCTAAATCGAAGTCTACCAACAATTGTTTATGGATTATCAAAGTGAGTAGTCTGTCTTTTTTGAAGTTGTACTTTTTCTTCCAGTTTATTTTCAAAGAAATTAATTTCTACTTACTTAAATGGGTTTCCATGAGAATCATATTCCATTTGAAGCCAACTTAACATTCTATTGTCTTCTTTCACAATTGTTTCTTAACTAGTTATTCTATGATTGATTGGTTCTATTTTGGTGCTTAATTGAATGGAAAATGAATCCTCACTACCTCTTGTTATGCACTCTATTCCTTTGTTTCCAACTCTTATCATTTGGCCACAAATAACTGAAAAAACATATGTTTTGTTTACACTTTACATTCTAAATGCAATGCGCAGATTATGCATCTAAAAATGAATTATTTCATGTTTGAGGTGTTTATTATTTTCTTCCACAAGCTTTTTTAGTGAAACTAATCTGATAATATCAGGCATAAAATAGTCAATGCTGCTACGGGGAGAAATCATACTGTGGTCATTACTGATGATAGAAAATCATTCTCATTTGGCTTCAATAAACATGGACAGTTGGGAACTGGTTCTACGCGAAATGGTAGGCATTTAATAGTTTTAAGACACCGAATTACATTATTTTTGTAGAAATCTATTTGTTGAAATGTTATCATATGCCTTCATTATTTTTGTAGAAATTTATTTGTTTAGATGTTATCATATGCCATTATGCTTCAAATATTACCTCTTTACAATTGCTTTTCAACCTCCTTAGTTGCATTGGTGCATATTGGTATCCAACCATTGTGTGCATGTTTCTTATCCTATTTGAACGTATAAATATATCTATATGAATGCGTCCATGCACTGCAAACAAAGTAGATGTCAAATATGAATATGATACATTCACATCCATAATTATGTGCGGTTTTGTACTACCTTCTGTTTTACTTCAATTTTCTTGCAAAAATGAATGCTATTCTTGTGATTGAAGTGCTGTATAAAATGTGCTCAAAAATTTACATTTGAGAATCATTGGCTTGTGTAAGCTGTGGTAGAAGAGCAAAGAGTATTCTAAATCAGGTTAGTATTCAGTTTGCGCTACAATACATGAGTATGTTGTGGGTTTTTTTACATAGCATGGGCAAAATATAATGATGGATATGATAGTAATACATGAGTATGTTGTTTTTTTAGGCATGCGTGTTTGTGTGTTTTCATTATGTTAACTATATCTATAAGAAGTTTGTACATGTACTAGACCATAAATATCACTGTCAGATGACTTGAATTTGATTGTTACCTTTATATCTTGATTGTTTATCTTGCATACATACTTTTAGGGTATGCTTCTTGTCTAATTTGATTTTTTTTGGGTAATAATTGAAATACTTCCTCACCCTCTCCAAATTGTGTATCTAGGTCATCTATTTTTGTTTTCCTTCTTTATCAAATTGGCATCATAGCAATATTTGGTTAATTCTTTTTCATATTTCTTTCTATTTTAGAAAAATTAATTATTTGCTATCCAATCTTAAAACCCATCTCATAAAATCCTAGCATATTTCTAATCCTCATTAACTCATTTTCTTATTTCTTCAGCTCTGTCAAATCAATTCCAAAAACCCTTTGCAATCATTGCATGATTTAGCATATCTTCATGTGTGAACCCTCACCTAGGTAAACACTTTTGATTCATCCTTTCCCATGCATACTTTGGCTTCATATGGTACAATTTTGTTGATGTTGCACCTTTGTTTTGCCATGTGAAAATGAAGTCATAATTCTATCACAAATTAATTTGTGCTACACCACAAGATGGTCGACAAGTTCATAAGTTCATAAAGAAGTTTTACATACAATGTGATATTTTGAAGCATATTTCCCATACAAAGAAAATTGTTTTTCAAAAGTTGAGTATGAGAAAAAAAATGAAACCAAAGGTAGCTTTAATTTGAAGACCATATTCAAAATTTTGGGGCCTATTTGGTTGTGGTCAGTTTGCTTAAATGGTCAAACCAAGCACTTTTGTGAGAACCTACTCAATTTTTAGCTTTTGAGCTCATTACAGATTTTTACCTACTTATTTTAGGCCCCAATCAAATAAATCCCTACAAAATTTTGCAAGGTCCATAAATTATATAAGTCAAATATGCTATAAGAAGTGTTCAAGTAAATTATCTCACATATGGGAACAATAAAATCATACGAAAAACTTTAATGGATTGGATAAAATTGTATCAATTGAATGCATAAAAATGACACTTTATAATGTTGAAAGCAAGACAGCAATACAATAAGATAGAGTTATACAGAGTAATAATGCCAAGGTGAAGATAGAATAAAACAAAGTATTAATTTGAAAGCAATTGAATTGTTAGAAAATTCAAAGCAATAACATTTATTAATGAAATAACATTGAACCAAATCATTAATGTGGCAATGCTTAAATTAAAAACTTGATGTAATCAAACCAACTCTTTCTAGCGGAAAGACCATTCTCACACATGCTTTCAAATGAAAATTTCCATTGTCTCTCATTCCTCAAGAAATTAAGTAAATATACCACTAGATGCTTAATGGAAGAGACACATTGATTGATGCAATATAAGGAGCCAAAATTCAAAGACACATGGAGAAGCTTGCATCAAAGTTGTGATGATGATGATCATCAGATCATGCAATCATGCATCAAAATTTCAAGGGTTTTGATCAAATATGAGAGCCTTCATAAAAAAATGTGATTATCAAACTTTTGGAACACATGAAGGGGAATTGTAACACTGCAAGATTAATTTCCAAAATGTATTGTAATGTTTATATATATATATATATATAAATTAGGTCATAATGATTGTAATTGAACTTCGTAAATGGGCTAATTGTTGGCTATGGATTATTTAGGATTATCATGAAATGTATATATGAATAGGACATACGTGTGAAGGACATTCAAGGTATTTTCAAGGTGGCAGATCACTAACACTAAGTGAAGGGTGGTTCAAAGTAAAGGAATATATTTAAAACTAATGTCCAAAAGGAGCCAAATTCCAAGTAGTTTGGAACTTTGACTAATGGCCCCAAACGCCTCTTAAATTCAAGACACCTCTTCATCTCCTTCTCTGCTACATAAAACAACTAACAAGCTTGCTCTCGTCCTTAATGGACCGCCTCCTTTCCATGAGTTGGCATTAGTTATGTCATGATTTTTGGAACAAACAAAGGAAATCCATCGATCACCCTCTTCTTTTCCTTGTGAAATTCACTAACCATGCAAATCAAAAACATGTGGAACTTCCACTCCCACCTTTATTTTCTTCAAATGCATTTTGTAATTTAATTTTCAATTCTTATTTACTACTTGAAATATCCATATATCTATTAATATTAAAAGGAATTAAAAGAAAAAAAAAAGGTTTTGATTTTGTTTGTCCCCAAATTGGGCTTGTCTCCTTTTCATTTGATGGTGATAGGTTGCATGGGGGTTTGGTGACTTCCATGCCCTATATGATTTCTTTTTGTAAGAAATTATATGAACATGTTTTCTATTTTTGTTAAAGAATATTAAATCCTCCCTTCCATCATAAGGTGGTGATAGGTGTCTTCCTCCACCTTTGATAGTGGATGGCCATTTCACGTAGGGTAGATGCTTCCATTGTCTTGGTTTGAGTTTTAACCTTAATGGCACTCCAAACTTCATCTTGTACTCTCGTTTCCCTTGTTTATATTCCCCCGTGTCGCCTGGACCCCCGGGAAGCAAGGAAATAGAAAATACAATAAAAAATGCTATAACAATAATTTCACCATTCATAGAAACCCTGGTCTCTATATTCTTGTATGTACATCTCCCAACTGAAAAATAACCCTTCCCGATCACCTCCATAATCTCCCACATGCCTTTGCTCACTTCAACTTTTCCACTACATGTTACATTTGCGCCACTCTCCAATTCATTACTTAGCTCAGCCCTTTCTAGCCCTGCTGTGCCTCAAAAATAATTTTTACCTCTCTATAGGACATATAGTGGAAAAGTATCCTCCCTTAGTTCTGATTTTCCTCACATCCATCCCATAAGCTGTTAAACATTATTCTGACTTCATAGCCATAAAGATGCGACATCTATTTGAATTCACCACCCTTCTTTTTGTCATCAATGCCCACTTTTAAGAAAATATGGAAGGGAATCATTGATCTAAGGTAAATCAAAGGAATCATTGGCAAATTGTGGAGAGAAGTAATCATAAGATGATGCCATAATAAATATAAAAGATGAGTGATGCATATAAAAATAATAATCACACTCTTAATAACCAGACATTGTTGGTAATAAAATTAAGCACATCAGCGTGAACAAATCAAATAAATATGTATTTGGCTCGTGCACATATAGGGCCAGTTGAGGATCACAATCCTCGGCAATTAAGTTGAGGCTTTGTGCTGGTTATTTTTGGTTACTCAATAACAAGCCAGTGATTGGCATTCTCTTTCACTGTTCTGTTTCAAGATGCACCATTATTTTTAGTAAACCATTGTAAGGATAAACTTCATGTTGCCTTATCTTGAGTGTACACTTTTTACATGTTTAATATTATTGTTGTAAATAGCCTTAAAATCGTGATAGGTATTAGAACAAACTATTATTTAAGGCACTAACGAAGCAGAAAATAAGCACTTATTCATACTTTGGGTAAATTGAAATCAACCTGTCCAATCTCTTCTTCCTTCTTTGTTTCTGTTATATATATATATAAAGAAAGAAAGAAGCTTGTGTCGAAGACTTGCGCCATTGATCTTAGATTCGGCCAAGAATGTGCAAATTAAAGTGCCCCCACCATTCATCTTTGCTCTGGGCAGGAAGATCTTTTAAATTGAAGTCCTCACACAATTGTATCTTAGATCATGACAGAATGATTGACAGTTCGAAGACTCCACGCCGTCGTATCTTAGATCTGGGCTCGTAGAATTAAAGGCAAGTGCCTCCCAACCTTCTCTCGTGTGGGAGAAATTATTATGTGCGGACACCATACCATTCAGAGGCGAATCAGAACATGCCACATCACCCGATACACAACGGTACACAACAAATAGGTGACATGGTGCATTCTTATTCGCCTCCGTACGACGTCCTTATTCGCACATAATAGTTTTATCTCGCGGGGAGGGGATGCCGGGAGGTTGGCGAAATTGAAATTGAACAAAAAATGGCCCCCCACACAATCAATTTGTCATTTTAATTAATTATAGAATTAAATTTTAAAAATGATCAGAATCACGCTTAAAGGAATAAGTTTAAACTGGAATTTAAACTGGAAATCTCTTAACAACCCATGCTTTCAAATTTCCCTCATAAATCTTCCTAATTCTTTCCTAATCGGCTCTGTTGGCTCCTGCAATTCGAGCGGCATAATTAGGAGGCGGGCTCTGTTCCGCCTCATGTAGAAGCGGGTCGGTCCTATGTGAACTAGCTCGGCTTGTCTAACACAAACATCCTCTAGAAATTATGCTCAATGATAACTTGAAGGAGTCAAAATGAACTAAACAACATATCTTCTATATACTGCAACAAGTGAGATCTAATACGCTTATATGCCACCTAATCTGCAACACTTGTACAAGCGAACATAAGACGATATCTCTATAATAACTCCAATCTATATGCTGAAAATACATCCCGCATGAGCTCCGACAAATGTGCTAAATTTGCAAATGCCAATATTTTAGAATGCTGCACGGGTCAAATATTCAAGTATCATCCTCTTTCTTGAAAGGACTGGAGTCAACTTAACTTGAATTATAAGATGTCTCCTAAATTTTTTCAAAATATAGATAGTTTTCAAAATGACACATGTCTCTCCGATGATGACCGTGTTGAAAGAAAATCTCAACCGTAGGGGACATTATTTTAAAAATACTCAAATCCCAAAACAAAATACAAATATTTTAAATTGACTTTAAAGTCACCCCGATGATGGCCGTGCTGACAGTAAATTGTAAGCGGAGGGGTCATTTCTTAAAAGACTATAAAAACCTCAAAATCTAATCACGAAAACTTAAAACTAATGTCCATGCACCTTTCACAAATGTTTATCGGGGGTGGTAAATTTGAAATTAACCTCAGCTCACAAAGAACTTATGTCATGTCGGGTCTCAAATAATCTCTTGCCAGCATGGACGCAGTACATGCCCTTTGATTGGGTGGTTTTGCCGCAAAATGACACTATTTTATTACCATCACGGCCAAAGCTCGTATGTTCTTTATTGACGTCAAATCTTTGAGTAATGAATCATTGGGTCTATTCGATGGGCACAAAGCCTTTTTTGTCAACTAAGGTGAATTCAAATGTATCCTCTTAGATAAACACCACCCCAGGTCTACAGGGTATCCTTGGACAAAGAAATTCATGGATGCTGATAAGGTGCCTTATGTTAGGTTGGGTTGACTACCTCCTCTGATTATGTAGACCAAGGACCATGATCGCCCGGGACGACGTAACCATGGGATCTTGATCGGGCTTGGCTTGTCTTTATTTCCCATCAGCTATTTTAAATTATTTTGTGAAACTTCAAAATTCAAATTTAAACCCTAAAAATGTTGTTATTATACGCTGAGTTTATAACCTATACAACCTATCTTACGACTAGCCTTAATCAAAAGTTCTTTCTTGTCATAGAGAGGAGTAATTAACTATAGGGGCTTGTGGCTATAGGAAACTAGAACTCATATTATAAAGTCCTTGCAAAATGAGGGCGAAATCTCTAGGTAGTGTCTTATCTGAAACCCAATCTGCCTTCTGAAAATTCACCTGAAACATAAGCTCGTTAAAATTCTTTGCCGTCAACAAAAGAAAAAGAGGCGGTGCAGAGAGGCAGGGGCATGACAATTTCAGATCCAGTAGTGACCAAACCATCTAAGACAACTCTCTCTAATCTTATCTTCCACTAGAGCTACTCCAACCTTTCCACGTATATGCGCACTTTGTATCCTGTCTCTAAGAGTAAAGCCACTCATTTACCTGAGCATTCTCATCTCTGTAACACTTAACTTAATATTATGCTTCTCTTTTAATGGCCAACATTCTGCGCTATAAAGCATTGCAGATCTCACCTCCATCTTATATAATTTTCCCTTAAGTTTGAGGAGGATTGTTCTAGCTCACAAAAAGCCTAGTGCATTACTACACTTCAACCATCCAACTTGAATTCTACTAATAATTTCCCCATCTATTTTTCCATCACTCTGAACATCAGACCCAAGATATCTAAAGCGTGCACTCTTTTTAATGACTTGATCGCCCAAAGTCACAATCCCTCCACTTGATCTTTTACTACTAATGTAAACACAAAAATAATACAACATAAATTATTTTTTATTTATGAATAGTGAGAGTAAAGAAATTTTAAAATGTGATTGGGTTGGGTAAATTTTTATTAGAGTGATATTGTTGGTTTCCAATGTTTTGTTTAAAATGCCCTTAGTGTGTCTAAGATCTGTCAAGAAAGTATTGGTGATGTATCTTAGAAGTGTACCATTGGTGCGGATAAGTGCCTAAGAGGGTGCAAAAATCTATGAACATATTTTAAGAATAATTTGAGGAAATTTGCCAAAATATTGCTTGCTTATTGTGTTTTTTGATCTCATTTTTCTGCTAGGTGTTTAACAGGGGCATCAAAGCTTTTTGTAGGTGTCCACTCTCCATAGAATAGAAGCATCCTTGATCCGCATTAGCTGTTTTCAAAATTTTTCCACAATTTACATTGCTACCTAACGTATATTGTTGATGGTTCATGATGCACAATGTTTACAAAACACTCTGTCAACAGAGATTGCTACATAAAAAGTATAAATTCACTGATTTCTAGGAATTTTACCTGTTCAATCATTTGTGCTTAATTTGACATGAGATATGTTGCTAAGACAATGTGCATTCAGGCCACGAACAGTACCATTACTTATACGCTGTGCTTACTCCTTTTGCTTTGGAGTCTGCTTGTGGTAATTTATGATAAGAAAAATGTTTGTCCTTATGGAAGTGGCTTTCTTTCAATTTCTATATCTAGTTTGCTCTTTTGAAGAGTAAGCACAGTGCCAATAATATCAGAGGTTGAGGCACCTATATGTTCTGATGCTTTAGTATTCTATGTGTTAACTGAGTCATTGCAATTATAAAATCACCGTGACCAACTATGCTGTTCATAAATGAAGCCCAATCATACCCATCCGGCTGATATAAATACAAACTCTTGCATTTCCATGAGTTTGTATATTCCATGAAAAGGGGGAATTCTTTTTGTTTTTTTTTTATATTGATTATATGGTCATTTTTCTGTAGAAATTGAGGCATTTCCAGTAGCATCTTTGGTTTCTGAAGTCACAAAAGCTGCTTGCGGAGCTGATTTTACTGCATGGCTGTCATCTGTGGAAGGATCTTCAATAATGTATGATATGCAAAGTTTTTGAAACCAAAATAACAGATGCAAAGTTTGATTCAATGTCTCCCATGTATAATATGAAGAAATATAAATGAATTGATCGTATTGTTATGTAACTGTATTCAATTGCTTCAGAACTGCTGGTCTTCCACAATACGGACAACTTGGACATGGCACTGATAATGAGGTAAAGTTGGATATTTTGTCGTCTATATAAGTGATCCTTTGATAACTATATTTTCTTATGCCTGTATTCTCTTTTGTAATTAGTATAATACAAAAGAAAGTTCAGTTAAATTAGCTTATGAGCCTCAGCCTCGTCCCCGAGCAATATCTTCACTGTCAGGAAAAACTATCACAAAAGTTGCTTGCGGAACGAACCATACAGGTTTTTCTTATTTCATTTCCTTGATATAGTTTTTCTTATATTTGTATGGTGATGATGTTTCTCTTTCCCATTCTTATTTTTTGAATCTTACTTTTCAGTTGCTGTGGATTCAGATGGCTTTGTGTACACGTAAGTTCCACAAGCCCTGGGTTTTATTCTATTTGCATGGTATATTTGGCTTTTACTTACCCTTTGGTTGAGTTAAACTTGCATGGAGAAGCTTCTTTTTGTGGCATATGATTCCTGCATATCAAAGCCTGAGATTCTATCATTTTGTGCTTGCTAATGGAGCTTTGCACTAAAAGGATAAATTAATGACGGTTATGGATGGAATTGGATTCATTATCTCCATTTGTGCTTCTGCTTTAATGATATTTTTTGTTGACATGTTATTCTTTAGTAATTAATTTCTATTGAATATTATCCGGCAGTACCCTGCTGTCAAAGCATCTTTAATATATATGTTCAATAGACTTATTCGTTTGCTGTGTTATTTTGGTGAATCTCCAGGTGGGGTTTTGGCGGCTATGGAAGGTGCGCAAGTTATGTAGTTTAGCTTCACTTTTTCCTGTTTCCCATTAAATTTTTGCAATGTCACTTTCTATGGCTGTTTTCTGTCATGTGACAATCTGTTGGTGGAGCATGTGAAGCTTCCTTCATTTATAACAATAATTTTCAATCCCTAATATCTTTATTGCATTCTGTAGTTTATCTGCTCTTTGGTATTTAGGCTAGGTCATAGGGAGCCAAAGGATGAATGGGTACCCCGTCTTGTAGAAGTCTTCCAAAGGAAAAATGTCCTTCCACATGATGCTGTTATTTCTGCCGGTTCTGTTAATTCAGCTTGCACTGGAGGTATGCCTTCTTTCACTTTTAAAGCAGTCTGATATTATTACTGAATTAGAAGATTTTGTGGACGGTACTATTAACACAAAGATTACCTGAGATAATATTGAATGTTTGATTGTTCTTTTTTTGTGTTATTTAGATTATTTGGTGGTTATTCATGTAACTTACCAGATGTTTTTTTTTGAAGATTAAGTTACTCTTTTAACACAGTGAATTTGGACAACTGGCTTATATTTTAATTTCTTATTTGATGTGCCAACTTCATATTTTTAGGCTCATCGACATTTTTTATTTCTTGCATCATATTATATCTGATTAATGTTACTTTGTCGTAATAAACTCAATAACACTTCATGAGAGGAGATTTGTGATAAGAAATTATATTGCAGACTTTGTTCCTATGATATCTAGATAAATGCCTTCCTCTTAAATATGAATGGCTGGTGGATTTTTGTCTTACATGCAAGTATGTTGTGTTTAGTATGGTAGTTCTTGAATGTTTCGTGGTTTCAATTGATGAATCTGATGGTGTCGAAATGAGTACTTTTCTGTTCAAACTGTTTTTTTACTGGACGGAGGGCTCAGTTTTTTTTTAAAACCACTGATTTCAGTCTTTGAAGCTTACTTTGCAATTTTTTTTTTCATTACCAAGGAAAAAAAATTCAACAACTCAATCTGTTTGTGTTCTTTTTAATATGTTGTTATTGGAAACCTTACCACCCGATGCAACTTAACTTTGTGCCTTAAAATTAGAACATATGTTGGCACAACGGTGTTAAACATGGCCTAAGTTAGTTCTTTCTGATTTGAATTGTTTGCTTGTGTGGTGTTCCTCAATTCCTTGTGGTTTTTTGGGCAATATGCATTTTAGTTTTCTCATATGCTAAATTTCTGAGCTGAATGAAAGTTTCTGTCCTGGACTAAGTTGTATCATCCTTAAGTTAATTGGTTTGGAGTGTCGTATGATAGCATTAATATTATTTTTATTTTTATATGTATTGCAACTTGATTTACATCAATACATATAATTTTGACTACTTTGTTGTTGCATTGTTATTTAATGGAAAGCAGACTTTAAAAACTAGTGTTTGCCATGAATCTTTTAAATTTGTCTGTTTCATGCACATTCTTTGATAGTTATATTTGTATACGTGACCTTAAGGTTCTTATATATTTAGACTTCATTGTTGACATTTTTTTCTGTGGTGAAGTAAACCGAGCCTTTTTTTAAGAAACACTATTTCGAATCTAGAAAATACTTCCCATGAACATGTTCCAATGGGAGTGGTCGTCGAAGCAGAGATCTCGTCTCCTTCTTATAGGCGCAAATGGGAGTGGATCGAGAGCGGAATGCGGGATTTGGGCTGGATTTCCGCAGGGATCCCGGGAAGCGATACGAGCGGCGCCGAGTGCACAGTAATTCAGCGGGATTCTTGGATCCGATGGCCAAGAGGTATGCATGCTAGATTTTTTTTTTTTCTCTCTTGTTTTGTTTATACAGAGGTTAACACATCATTATGGTGAACTGCTCTCTCCCTTTCCTCCTCTCATATAGAGTCCAATGTCGGGCATTTACTTCATGATTTATGTAAGTTTTAATATATATAGCGTGAGGCGTAAGCCTCATGCCAGTGAGGCTAAGCGGGCCTCAAGGCGGGCCTCAACCAAGTTGAGGCGCAAGCCTCATAAAAAAAACTCAAGGCGTAAGCATCGAGGCGTTTTTTACTGGAATTGCGCAAAGGCGAGCCTCATATTGCGCAATTTTAAACCATGATTAATATTAATAATTATTATTATTAGAGAAATGAGGAATGCTTACGACAGCTACCTATTAGAAATATCGTCACTTATAGAGACGAGCTTGACAGCTGCTTGATAGTCAGGAAAGCTATGCAAAATTTTTCAACTTCTTTTTAGTTTGGTGGCACAATCTTTCCCATTTCACTTCTCTAACAACAACGTAGGTGAAATGGGAGCTATATATAAAATAGATTCGTGCTCAAGTCTCTCAGATTTTCCTTACAGCTAAGGAGATATGGCTATCCAGAGTTCCACTGATCATTTGGAAGATAGTAGAATGACATCTTATAGATAGAGTCCTACAAAGTTCGAGTACTGTCCCTCAACTGATATCATGCACATGGACCCCAGCTTTGTTAGAGTTGATGGTCGTGGAAAGGAAGTTATAGATTGGATGTAATACCACCAAGTATATATTGCCTTGTGAGAGAGCAAGAGAGCATATATTGTTGTAGGAGTTGGCCATAATCATGACTACAACCTTACAGTAAAGCACTACTAGAAGTGGTTTAGATCTTGGGCTACCTGTATATTGAAGGCACCTGTGGACCCTCTACTACATACTATCCCAGAGCCCCCTCAAAGCGTCATTTGGAACATATAACTACTCATAAGTATTTAAACTTACTTTTTCCACGTAAAGTAACTTATTATGCAAATACTTGTAGCATGATTTTTTTTCTTGAGATAGAGAGAACCTTATAGCATTACTTCAGAGGGATTGAGGAGACTAATATGCAGCGGGATGTTAACAGTGTAGACAAGTTATGCCAAGGGTTGCGACAACAAATGCACATAGCTGTTGATCAATATTTCGACGACATAAAGACTCAGCAGACAACAGTCAGCCCGTCACCTGTTGCTGGAGATCCATATAGTGCTAGCCTTTCCTCTTATGATGATAAGGGCCCCTCTCAGGGCTACCTACTTATCCTACACAGCCCAACATTCCTTCTTACTTCACATCATATTTTGTTCCTTCATCCTTGGTCACACCTACCACCACACAGCCTAAAGCCATTGTCGATGAGTAGCACCACTTACGTACGAGACCACTGCATGCACCACAATTTTTCACTTCTAGCACTAATTCAATACCCCTTCGCCAACAGAGTTGTTAGTTCTACTTATGTTTTCATGCAATGCCCTATACATTTATGGTGTTTTTTTATTGTACTGCTTTGAGATTTATTATCTACTTTGCTACAATTTTATGTACTTTCAACATAATTTTATTGTACTGCATTGATATGGATTACATAATTAATTTTCTTCTACCGTTATGATACACTTACTAAAGAATAATGGTCCTTCAAATACACTATAGGAAATGCAAACATTGAACAAACAATATAAAATTTTACAAACATATGGAACAATTCTTTATCCAAACACCTTGCACCAACTAAACATCTTGAACTTCTCCTGCAACTTCCATACAATACACCTTCTCAGAACAAACTTTAGAAAAACAAACCAACACTAATTATTTTCACCTAACAATTTTCTAATACGCGCTTGAAGTTGGCTTTGCATTGAACAACAAACAAAGTAGAACTCAAATTCATATTGTAGATCTTGCATGTTTGCCAGATTTAGAAACTTCCTCTTACCTTTGGACAAATGCTTCTTCATCCGCTCCTTATAAAGATCTTAAGATACATAGTTCCTCACCTGCCCTCCAAAGATGATAGAGAATGAGATATTCATCATCCGCCTTTGGCCTGCAACATCGGATGAAGTCCCACCTCTTTGACGTCGGACACCATGATAACACATAAAGAAAATGCAAACTTACGAGGTGACCATTATGCTCAAGAAATTTGTCCTCAACATATAACCCATAGAATTTAAGAAAATTCCATTTATGTTGCTCTCCATCTTCATCGCTTCAGCATATATATACCGTAGTATACGATCCCTGTCTTTGATCCACACATGAATGCAACATCTGAATATCTCATTTGCCCTTGCCTTATGTTCAAGGAGACTGTCCATACACCTTGCCATACAATCGTGCAGTTGTCAGTTAGTAATATCTAACAATTGTTTGGTGGGAATACTACGAGGCTTATTGTTATCGAGCCAATGCATTCTGTAAAAAATAAATAAACAAACTAGACATCAAGCTCTCAATCAAAACCCATCTATTTGCACAAAACTTAACTCCATCTTCACCTCAAATGGAACACAATACTTTTATATAGCATAACTTTCATGTGCAACATATTCAAAGACCCAACATTCAATTTGATTAACCAAAATAACTCATGTCACATTGTGAATGCATGTGATACTAACATAGTTAGTCATATGACACTGCCTAGGGGTGTTAATATTGGACACGACTAGAAAACCCGACTCGAACCCGACACGGAAATTTCGAGTTCGAGTCAACCCGAACCAGGTTAGGTTCGGGTTAGAGATTTCAACCCGTTTGTAAAATCGGGCCGGCTTCGGGTTGACGCAGAAACTCGGAATCAACCCGGTTTGACCTGGGTTCGCGTCATTCACGTCCGTGTCCATCCGTCGCGTCGTCCGTCAGGTCCGAATTTCGAGTCTGTTGCGATGTCGCGTCCGCGGTTTGCCTTCGGCGTCAAGCAGCTCAAGGCTCAAGCCCATAGGGCATTCTAGAATGTTTCCCACGCAAGGATCCACCGTCCAGTGACTGCTGCCCTCGCACACCCACAAACGAAGTCACCGCATCAAGCAGTCGCGCGCATCCCCCAACTCGTAGCTGAAGGTCCTCCAGCAGTCGCATCCACTGTCGGTCCGTTCGCTAGCTATCTTTGCGTACTTCTTCAGCCAAATCGCGCAAATCCGTGTCGGGTCAGGTTGACCCGAACTCGAAGCGGGTTGGGTTCTGGTCCAAAAAATTGACCCGTTTGCAAAAACGGGTCGGGTTCGAGTTGACCCGAATAGTGTCGGGTCAGTTTCAGGTTCAACCCAATCCCAACCCGTGACCAAAATTGACACCCCTAACACTTCCAATGTTACTTTAATGCCACACCTACCCAGATGACCTATATGGATAGAATCCTGGCAACAATAAAATCATATCGATGCTTTCTAATTACAATCTGACATTGCCAACAGTATCCAAAGTAAGATCCCTGTCGTTAAAGGTACACCAGTAAAAAAATTTTTATACAATATAAGAAATCTGTTGTTTGTTGGAAAATAAAATAATAAATATATATCTATCAAATTTAATATTTAACTTATTCAAATATCAATTTACTTTTAAATATTGATGTAGTCAAAGCTGGTTGTTTGATGTTCTATGCTTTGTTCGGATTGTTTGGTGGCTTTTGGATTTCCTGCTGAGTTTCTATTCAATTTTGATTTCCCAAATGATTGGAATTTGCTTTTTCTTGGTTTCCTGTGCTGGCCGTTCCCCTTCCCTATGTATTTAGGATTGCTTTTTTTTTTGCTGGTTTCCTGTGCTGGTCATTCCCCTTCCCTATGCTATTTCATAAGCTTTGTGTTGGCTCCTATTGGATGTTTGGGGTGGCTCATTAATGTGAGTGGTTGGCTGTTTTCCCCTATAAATGGGGCTGTTTTGCTGCAGTTTTAGGAAGAAAATGAAATGATTTTTTATTAAGAAACTAGCGGGCTAGCCTCCTTTCCCCATTCCCTCTACTACTTCGTCTCAGTTTTTTACCTCTTCTTCTCTCTTCACGTTTCCTGCCCCACCTTTATCTTTTTTCTCTTAAATTATTGTAAGTCTTAAGTTGTGTCGTGTCTTGTTCCTATATATTTTGTTAGTAGTTTCTATTAGAAGTTGAAAGCTTTGTTGTGTTCTGTTTAGTTTTTGTATTTGTCATATTGGAAGGAAGGTCTTTCTTTTATTGCAATTCTATTGTGTTTTTTTTTTCTTTTGCATACCTAGTATTCTCTTACTTGCCTTAGGTTTCTTAGGTTGCACCAAATATTTTATTAAAATCTAATTCGTTCTCCAACATAATTTTCTCCCAAAATATGTGTTTACTATTCATACCTAACTTCTTTAACTTACTACCATGAATTCTGTATAAAAAAATAAAATTTGTGGACTAACTTATTTCTTTGTTGTTGTTTTGAATGTGTGTTTGTGAGAGTAATCAGTTCTTGAAAATTTAGTTGAATTTAATCGAATTTCTTTCGAATATCCTTATTTATTCTCCTATATAACATCCTCCGAAAAATAATGTTTATGATTTATATGTAACTTCTTAAAGATATAGATCTCCCTCGTACCCTCTTTCTCTTATCTCTTTAGAAAATAAAAATGAAAAACTACATATAAGTACATTTATCTCTCTCACACAAGTATGAAAAATCCCACGTTCCATTGATTTTTAATCTGGCCAGAAATGAATACTATCTCTGCACTTCGTCGATCCTAGATTTTGCCAAAGTTTTTCCTCCCTTTGTCGATCTTAGATTTGGATAATTGGAGAAGAATGTTAAGGGTTACACACGACAAATGGTCGACGGCGGTCGGCGGGCTATCGTCAAACAGTGGCCGTTGTAATAGCCTGTGAGCTTGACACCACTGACACATTCATGACCACTCTTGAGTGTGGCTATTGTCGTTCAATAATTACATGCATTAAAGCCTGAAAGCCCTCAAGATTCTCAAGCCACTATAGAATACTAAGATAAACCAGGGGAGACAAAAGCATGGTTGAAAGGAACTATCATTTTCGGAAGGCTTCTAAATAAGGCGAACGTTTGGTGTGGGTGAGTGGGGGTGCAGTTCCGTGGACCGCTCGTCGGGCCCATGGTTTAAAATTGCGCAATATGAGGCTCGCCTTGAGGCCCGCCTTTGCGCAATTCCAGTAAAAAACGCCTCGATGCTTATGCCTCGAGTTTTTTTTATGAGGCTTACGCCTCAACTTAGTTGAGGCCCGCCTTGAAGCCCGCCTCGCCTCACTGGCATGAGGCTTACGCCTCACGCTATATATATTAAAACTTACATAAATCTTGAAGTAAATGTCCGACATTGGACTCTATAGGAGAGGAGGAAGGAGAGAGCAGTTCACCATAATGATGATTCAAATGAAAAGCCCCTTAGTAATTACAGTGCTGATGACTTATGAGTTCTTATGTGATATGTCATTGCTTTTTTTTTTTTTTGGAAATTGGAATTATATGTTAATGAAAAAAATATTGGGATTTGGGAAAGATATAATTTTGAGTTGAACTATATTTCATGTTGTCTTATTATTGCGATATTTTGATTTTAATTCATATCTTATGCTTTTTTATATTTTATATTATTCACTCATTAGTATATAAAAAATTTATCATTTTATGTTTACGCGATCTTTAGATTTTGAGGCTTACGCCTCAAAACGCCTTGAGGCTTACGCCACGCCTCACGAATGAAAAACGCCTCAATACCCGAATACGCAATTTTAAACATTGGTCGGGCCTGATAGGTGGTGATACCCATATGTATGGTTTTTGAAAAATTACCCCATATAAAGGCAATGTTATAAAGCTTGAGGTGATCACTATGATCGATAATGTATCCATATCGAAGAGATGCGCTGAAAGCAAGAGTCTGATCCTAAAAAATGTGCTAGAAAGACTATGGTGAGATAGAAACTACCGCGTTTTTATCAATATTTCTATTGAGGCTCTTATTAGCCACTTATGATAGTTGGTTATTTTAATATTTTCTCTATTTAGGACACATTGTGTAAGCATGTAAGGGATGGAAACACCGTTATAAAGTTCAAGCAAAATCATAATATTAAATGGAAGTCAAATATAAGAAATGTTGATTTGGTTGATAAAAAATATCGATCAAAGACCCAAAGCCAAGCTCGCTAGCTCTCAGTCGATCCAATCGAGTTGCCTTGCACACAATACCATGTTATAAGACCCATATTTTAAAACAATCCTAGATTCAGGCAAGAAACACTTGCATGAGCTTTCTAAAACCTAGGCCAATTAGTTACAACCATGCAGCATCTCTTAATGAATCAAAACTATTGATATCCCTACTAAAGCGAAGGATGACCATGCCAAGAAAGTCATTTAAAAACAAGCATTCCAATGGATGTAAGCCCCACTTTAATCATGTTCTATTAGACAGTCTTGCTTAAAGCGCTAGATTGTAAGACCCACATTTCGGGTAACTCCTAAATAGAGTAGTGAGCTTCAACCTAATTAAATCCAAGCATTCCAAGAGATGTAAGCCTCACTTTTACATAAATTTTTCAGCTAGTCTCGCCTATAAGATTAGATTGTATGATCTACAATTCGGGCAAAACTCCTAAAAAAGTAGTAAGGCCCAACCTAATTAAATTCGGGCCTTCCAATGGATGAAGCTTCTTTATTAATAAATTGGTTCCTTCCAATGGATGCGAGGCCCAACCTAATTAAATATGAGCATTCCAATGGATGTAAGCCCTATTTTAATCATATTTTATTGTGGTAGTCTCACATATAGGGCTAGATTGTAAGGCTCACTATTCGGGCAAATTTTAAGTAGAGAAGTCTCATCCTAATCAAATCACAACATTCTAATAGATATATGTCCTCTCCAAGTTAATTTCAAGTATTCCAATGAATGTAAGCCCTATTTACACTAAATCTTACCAACGACCTCACCTATAGGGCTACGTTGTAAGACCCACCATTTAGCCTTCTCCTAAATAGAGTAATAAGCATAGTTCTAATATAAAATTGGGTCTTTCAATGCATGTAAGCCCCAACCTAATTAAATCCAAACATTCCAATGGATGTAAGCCCCACTTACACTAAATTTCTTTGACGATCTTGTATATAGGAATAGGTTGTAAGACCTACCATTCAAGAAACTTTTAGATAGAGCAGTAAGCCCCATTCTAATCTAAAATCGGGCGTTCTATTGCATGTAAATTGCAACCTAATTAAATGCATGCATTTCAATAGATATAATCCCAAAATCAATTAAATTTGAGCTTTCCAATAGATGCAAGCCCAAAAAAGCTATATTCATGCCAGCTCCTATGTTGTTAACAAGCTCGCCAAATACAGTAAACACTAAAATCTATATACAATCATCTTGATCTACTCATGATCTATGAGAGGATGCAACCCATTGGTGCTAATCAAATTCCTTGGATGTTATGGCCTATGGTTGCTATTCTTTGGACAAATGAACTATGAGATATTGATCAGATCTACTTCTATCTCCCCCAAATATCTCCTATTAAATATTAAGCTTAAATATAAAAAAATCATATCAAAGTAATAATCTTTAATCGAGAGTGTTTTCCCATGAGTGGGAGGGATAGTTAAGTACAAGTATTTGTGCTCATAGAAAGTTTAGACCTCAAATCTAAATAAATTTTGATATAAGCATCAAAGGGAATATAGGTAAATTAAAAATTAATCTTCCGCATGGAGAATCAAATCCAAACTTATAAAGCAGGGTTCAAACACATTTTTTGCGAGCGAACATTATCATCTATATTAAAATGTGGATGTATAATTAAGGACATGTGACAACAAGATGAAAATTTTGCATGACAACTACCAATTTGTATGGCTGTAAAGATTCAGGAAAATTACTACTAATGATCACAATTGCTTGCAGTGCTATAACATCTCTGCAAAGTTTTTGTTCTTCGTATCTATCCTACGACTCTTGAAATATTTTCTGTTGTTTTCATTTGTGTTTTCTGCTTTTCATCATGATTGGTTGTATCCTTTGTCTTTTAACAGTGGATGGAACATTAGATGCATGGCATCTGGTAACTTGCATCATGTTATTGGTGCTGACGATTCATGTATAAGTTGGGGGCATGCTCAGTATGGAGAGCTGGGTTATGGTTCCTTGGGTCCGAAGTATGTGTTTTGACAACCTGTATGCAGAAAGATAATCTTTAATGGTGCTTGTTGTGTAGTAATGACTATTGATACAACCTTCACTGCAGAACTTCTACAACACCCAAAAAGATTGACAGTCTGGAGGGCATGCATGTCAAGAGGTTTGCAAGACTTTTTTCTGACATTAAACATCATTAAAATTATTTAATTTTGCTGTAACTTGTTATTTACGCGTGCAGTGTGGCTTGTGGACTTGGTCTTTCTCTGATCGTTGTTGATAGGGAAAATATTGGTGATCGACTGGATAATGTAGGCAAAATATTTTAAAACATTGTGTTTCTTCATCACTGGCTATTGTTATTTTGTTCACTCTATATTTTGTTTTTGGGATTTATGGTGCTTTAAAAAGCTGATATTTTTCAGGCAACCACTTAAACAGTTAAACCTGATTCATTAAATAAAGCTTGCTTTGTTTTTTGGGTGGCAATACCATGTTTTAGAAGTTATTAACAATCTAATGCTTTGATAACATGGAAATAGCCGCTTTATTATACTCTTATAAAGCGCTTTAGCATGTTTCTTATAAAGCGCTTTAGCATGTTTCTTATAAAGCGCTTTAGCATGTTTGGATGATGATGTTAACACAGCTATCACAGAAAAAAAGGTGTGTGTGTGGGGGGGGGGGGAATGCAACTTCAACCTAAAAAAATATGCTGGAAAAGAATTTCTTATTGACAACTACAAGTGACGTCTGAGACTAAAAGTGATACTGCACTTGACATAAATATCATGATCAATCAACATAAGATGATGGATGATGTTTACAATAAATTAGTTGACAATGTAATCTTGAAGTAGTTGCCAACTTATTTATACTTTGTTGATGCCTTGGAAGAATATGTTCTAAATTTCTTTAGCATGAAATGATGGATGACTTGTTAAAGCGGATGACTTTCCTTATTGATGATTCACAAAGATTCTGATGCAGGATATATATGAAAATTTGATTTTGATAAGGATTTTGCACGCTTATTGAGTAAGAGCTAATTAATTAAAGCTTTATGATGATTCAACAATGAAATAAAACAAAGGAGTGGTAAACACAAGCTTAGGCCAAGTTACTCACGAAAAGTAAAAATCACATAATAATTAATTACTCTTGACATTGCCAACAAGATGGGTTTCAACAAGAAATCCCTACTATAACAATAAGAGTAGTGCTATGAAAGGTCGCTCACATAACTCCTAATAAATACTAGGCTTTAGTGGGAAGAGTTAACACAACTTTCCATGATTCAATTAGAGCTACAATTGAGAGCGATTAAAATATAAAAGAGTAGGAGAAAAGATCACCCAAATAAACAAGACAAACCAACACTCCGGTGTGGTGTTTATGCTCTTGAGAGGTAGTAGACAACAGTTCTCAACTCCTAGCCGCCTTAGGACAACAATTTGATGATCTGAGGATGGTGGACAGCAAACTAATCTTGGCTGGCATGTTTGGGGTAGCAACCTGAACCTTCCGGGCAGCACACAATGATCTTTGAGTAGCAGGACAACTTCCGACACTGTCCAGAAATTCTGGACAGCAATGCTACAGCAGTTTTGGCTCTTGGGAAAAGCTGGACATCAACTTCTAATGCTTATAAAAACCTGATAGGAAATACTTGATTTCAAGTAGTTCCTAACCAAAACTGAAGCCGAACAAGGAGAAAACTGCTGTCTCCAACAGTGGACAGCAACTATGCGCAGGAAAAACAGTGAATATTGCGAGAATATTGGGAGACAACGCAAGCAAAGACTTGTATTTTTACTAGTAGACGAAACAAATAGCAAGATACAATTTGTTCTTCAATTCGAGAGGAAGAACGTACTCTCCAAAGTCTCCGGCGAAGCCAAGAGCCCAGGGGACCGGCCATGCAGGGGAATTTATGATTTCCTTCCAAACTTGGGTTGCTAAAAGGGGAAAGAGAATTAGAGAGAAATCTCTAGTCAATTTCAGATTTGAGAGGATTTGGGAGTTTCCAAAAATAAATCAATCTCTTTAGGAAAGGATTTCAAATTCCATTTAATTGGAATTTGAAAGTTGAATTTTTTCCGAAGTTAAGATGATCTAAATTAGGAAAGTATTTAATTATTCCCCACATGAGTGGTTTTATTTTGAAAAGCAATATAAGATGTGGGAACTAGGAGGGGCCGGCAACACTAAGGGGAATTGGGGAGATTTCATTCATGACTTGCCTCTTTGGGAATACCAAATCAAGGAGGGGAAATTCGTTCTAATCCAATTCAACTTTGATTTGAGTTTGATTGGATACGTTTCCTAAAATAGAACTTTATTTTTGGAAACTATCCGAATTTCAAATCTTGATTGGTTGATTGAAACGAAAGCTTTCCTAAAATAAGTTGTATGGAAAAGGAAAGTAGTAGTGGAGAGATTTGAAATTTGGAGGCAAGAGGGAGATGGGGTGGCCGGAAGCAAGGTGGAAAGGGGAAGGAGTGTTTGCCGGTGGTGGGGCTTGGCGGTTTTGAGTTTGGAAAGCCCTACGCCGATGGAAAGGGGTAAGGGAGGATGAAAGAAAGGATAGAGAATAACAAGAAAGCCACGAACCCGGACTCTTCCAAGGTTGGTGGGTGATCCGCTGCCCTTCACCACAAGACTTTTCCAAGTTCTCTCCAAGAACTCTCTAGTTCTCTCAAAACACACAAGCGCAGGAATTTTCATAATATTCATTCATTCATTACCTCTCAAAGAAGAAGAGGGAGGCTTTAAATAGCCCATACAATAAGAAAATAAAAAGTACTACAATGCCCCTAGGGTTACACATACCTAAGCCCTTAAGTAAGGGTAAAAAGGGAAATAAACATAATAAACTTCATAAAATAAAAATAATACATCAATCATCAATATGAAAATCAAAAGTAGCGTGATGTAATCTTCAACTGAAAATGTGATAGATTTTCCATGTCTTGATGTCCTCATCAGATTCCTATTATTTTGTAGAATCTAGTCAGTTTTTCTCTCTTTTTTGTTTGTTCTTTTATTCTATGACTCTTTCATCTTTTTCGGGATGTAGGGGAAGGGTTATATAAATATGGCTAGAATAGGATGAGGATATACGATTTTTTGAAGCTTTGTTGCTAGTTTATTGGTGGAAATCAAGCAGAAGGTTTTGGAGTTGAATGAAGGTGTTTTTTTACTTTGATCTCAATTTTGTATTTGAATATTACTAATTATGTAGGTTTTATGGAGTGTTGTTGAAAGAGAGAATTCAATTCTGTATCTGAATATTATTAACTATGTGAAAATTATGTAGGTTTTATAGAGGGTTATTGAAAGAGAGATGAGGGCCAGACAATGGGGATAAAATTATGTAAGGATAAGTGGAGTCACTGTTTACATAAGCAATGACTTTGATGAATAGTAATTTCGTGAATATTGAAATTACAGAAATTTTTAAATTTCATATTTATGCATGGAAGAAAGAAAAAAATTGCTAATAAATTGTGAACAATTTAATAAACTATTGACAAGCTACTAGCAAGTCAATTAACTGTGTGAAAATTATGTAGGTTTTATAGAGGGTTGTTGAAAGAGAGATGAGGGCCAGACGATGGGGATAGAATTCTGTAAGTGGAGTCACTGGTTACATAAGCAATGACTTTGATGAATAGTAATTTCATGAATACTGAAATTGCAGAAATTTTTGAATTTTATTGATGAGGACATCGTCAGAGATTGCGACACATGTACCATCAGGAGATGCCGGTGATTGACGGCCACGATCATGATCTTTATTTTCATCATTTTATGTAGTAGTTTATTTGATTTTTATGTTTTTCCATTTTAGCCCTTATGGGTATTTGGTCGTTATTGTAGCCCGAGGGACATTTTAGTCGTTTGCTTTCTTGTCATTTTGAGGCCTATTTATATGGCCCTTTTCTTATGTAATAGTTTAGCTTTTGATGAATGAAAAAAATATTTGCCACTTATGATCTCTTTGTGAGTTCACCCTCTTCGATCTCTTAGTGAGTTCGCAGGAGAAGCTAGATCTCTTTGTGAGTTCTAGATCTTCTTGTTCTACCATTTTCTTCCTTATTTCTTGTGATCGATTTGTCGTCGTGGAGATCCGGTTGAAGCA